AAAGTTATCCTTGGCATGGATTTCCTTCGTGAGCACGGCGCTGTTATAAGTCTTCGAGACTGCCTCGTAACGTTTGCTGACGACTATGGCCCGAAGCCTAGATATACCAATCCGCAGAAGACTGCGCTTCGCATTGTCGACGATACCGTCACACTTCCGCCACACACCAGTATGTTCGTTACAGTACAGGGCGACATAGACCATGACAGTAGTGGTATCGCTGAAACCAACCTTTCGGTGCTCTTGTCTCAGCAAATCTGCGTTGCCCGCGGCATAATTCAATTTAAACGTGGAATGACTGAGTTGTTGGTCACCAATTTTAGTGAAGCATACCAACATTTGGCCAAGCGAACAACTATCGCTCATTTCGGAATTCATTGACGATGAAGCGTGTACGACGATAGCCCCGATTTTTGCAGCCGTTGAAAGTGACACCGCGGTAGCCGATGCAGTCGATGTCAATCTGAAGCTGTCATGTGCGCAGAAAGAGCAAATCCGCTGTATCCTCCGCATGTTTAGCGACTGTTTCGCGTCTACATCCAAGATAAAATAAACGCCAACCGTAAAGCACCGGATTGTCACTGACCATGCTGAGCGACCCATACGTCAGCACGCTTACCGAGTATCAAAAAAGGAACAAGAGGCTATACGTTCTGAAGTGAAGCAGATGCTCGAAGATGGCGTAATCCAACCCTCGAACAGTCCATGGTCGTCCCCCGTAGTACTAGTAAAAAAGAAGGACGGCACTCTCCGATTTTGCGTCGATTACCGCAAACTCAACAAAGTCACAAAGAAAGACGTTTATACGCTTCCGCGCATCGACGACTCACTAGACCGCCTCCGACGCGCCCGATACTTCTCTTCTATGGATTTACGCAGTGGCTACTGGCAGATCGAAGTTGATGAACGCGACCGAGAGAAAACAGCATTCATAACGCCTGATGGCCTGTACGAATTCAAGGTGCTGCCCTTCGGTCTGTGTTCTGCCCCTGCGACATTCCAGAGGATGATGGATACAGTGCTCTCCGGTCTCAAGTGGGAAGCATGCCTTGTTTACTTAGACGACGTCGTTGTCTTCTCCCAAACGTTTGAGCAGCATTTGCAGCGACTTAGATCTGTGTTCGCTGCAATTCGCACGGCAGGCCTATTACTGAAACCAGAAAAATGTCATTTTGGTTACAACGAATTAAAGTTCCTCGGTCACCTTGTTAGCCCTGATGGTATTCGGCCAGACCCAGACAAAACATTGGCTGTCGCAGACATTCCACCACCTACCAACAAACGTGATGTGCGTCGATATTTAGGCCTCTGCGCATACTACAGACGCTTTGTGCAAAATTTCGCAAACATTGCCGAACCCCTCATTCGTCTGACAAACGACGACGTTCCCTTCGTGTGGGGCCTTGAGCAAACACGCGCTTTCTCCGAGCTCCAACAGCGTCTCCAGTCTGAGCCCTTACTCGGACACTACGAGGAATATGCCGACACGGAACTACACACAGACGCCAGTAACATCGGCCTTGGTGCAATAATCCTCGTCCAGTGGCAAGGCGGCGTCGAACGCCCTATTGCTTATGCGAGTCGGATTTTATCACCTGCGGAGGCGAATTACACAACAACTGAAAAGGAGTGCCTAGCTGTTGTCTGGGCAATAGCTAAATTCAGACCGTACCTGTATGGTCGCCCGTTCAGAGTTGTTACCGATCAACATGCGCTCTGCTGGTTGACGAACCTTAAAGACCCTTCCGGACGTCTGGCCAGGTGGAGCTAGCGCCTTCAGGAGTTCGATTTGACAGTCGTGTTTAAGTCTGGCCGGAAGCATACTGACGCGGACTGCCTTTCCCGAGCTCCTCTTAAGACAGCGTCAGGTGATCACGATCTCGACGGCCGTTTTCTCTGCGCCGTTAGTGTATCCGACTTGGCTGAACAGCAGAAGAACAATTCCGAGCTTTGAACATTCATCGAATATCTCGAAGGCCGTACGTCGCATCCACCACCAGCATTCGCCCGCTCGTCATCATCGTTCTGCGTCCGCAGAAATATCCTCTATAAAAGAAACTTCGACCCTTACGCGACTGAGTACCTGCTCGTTGTCGCGCCAGCGTTATGAGCCGATGTCTTGTCCGCCTGTCACGATGAGCCTTCCTCAGGCCACTTGGGATTCACACGTACCTTGGCCCGGATTCGCCAACACTACTACTGGCCTAAGCTCAGTCGAGACGTGAAGCATTACGTGAAGACGTGTCACGAGTGCCAGCGCCGTGAAGCACCACATCAGTGCCCAGCCAGCTTTTGAAAGCCCGTCGCTCCTCCGACACAACCGCTTCAACAAATTGGCATGGATCTACTCGGACCTTTTCCCAAGTCTCGTGACGGCAACCGCTGGATTGTAGTCGCTACTGATTACATGACGCGCTACTGCGAAACCAAGGCATTACAACGTGGCACCGCCATTGAAACTGCCCACTTTTTTATGAAAAACATCGTCGTCCGACATGGAGCACCAGCAGTTGTCATAACTGATCGTGGCCCAGCTTTTACCGCCCGTATGATACAAGACGTCATGCAGCTTAGCGGCACAGTATATCGAAAAACTACTGCATACCACCCACAAAGCAACGGCCTTACGGAGCGACTAAACAAGACGATCGCCGACATGCTATCCATGCACGTTGACCAAGACCACAAAAACTGGGATGACATCCTCCCTTACGTCACGTTCGCTTACAACACCACTGTGCAAGAAACAACTGGATTCACACCATTCCGGTTGCTTCACGGCAGGGAGGTCACTACAATGCTGGATGCTATGCTTCTACCAGACAGACACCAGATTAGTGTCAAGACGAACGAATTGATCAGACTGGCAGACGCGGCTCGTAAGCTTGCAGTCGAACGAATCCATAAGCAACAATGCATCGACTCGCTGCGGTACAACGCTCGTCGTTGCGATGTCTCTTACCAACCCGGAGAACGAGTATGGTTGTGGACTCCCATTCGACAACTGGCCGGTCGGAAAAGTTGTTCCGCCGCTATTTTGGTCCATATAGAGTTCTCCGTCGTCTCAGCGAAGTGAACTACGAGGTTCTTGACGAGGACATGGCTCGTCAATCCCGCCGTTCACAACAGCCACACGTCGTCCATGTTTTGAGGATGAAACCATTTTACCAACGCTGACTATTTGTCACACTCCCTTGAGTAGACTTACAGTGATTGTTAACACCCCCTTGAGTACTGCTTATCGTACGTGTTTTCATCTGGAAATTATGATATGACATTGGGACGATGTCCTTTGGGAAGGGGGGTGATGCCACTAGTACAAGTTCTGCAAGTATTAGATGCTGGCATGCTTGTATGTGCCGCTGTTCAGAAGAGGACAAAGATGCGCGTGCAGAGAAAAACAATAGTCATACTGCCGTTGTTCGAATGAGTTTGACGTCCTTGTGTGCCATTATCTGCAGCTTACAGTTACGTTGTAACGTGACAATATATATTAGATTTTTTGTCTAAGTCACATAAAAGGAGTCGCAAAAGCCTGCCGCTAACAATGATCTAACACTAAATGGGAGGGGATGCTGTGCCGAACCCCCCCCCCCCCATCTGCTAAAGAAAAACTCTACACATGTCTACGTTTATTGTGTTCTGCATAAAAACCCGAGAAATTGAGCAGTAAGCGCACCTAGCGTTTCTTGTTGGGCGGTTATGGTTTTGTTGCTATTGTTATTAATGCGACGATTTCTGATATTGGAATTTGGGTATTATTACACAGTGTGGTCCTAACCTCATGTGCTGTGCCGTAGTGTGTAACGACGATTAGATGTTGTTATGCTGTGGTAGTGTGGTTGTGTTGTTGCGCACGTAGATACGATTGGCTTGCTTTGGCTTCATTGGCATTGCACGGCTTATGCCTTTTCAGCACTACAGCTGGAATAGTCTGGTGACGTAGGCATCCTAATGCGCTTACCTTGCGTTGAAATCAGGATTTGTTTGCCTGCTCTGCGGAGCCGCAGCGGTCTGAGCTTTAAAAATTCTGAGCTTCTGTTTCACCGCTTACGTTCTGCAGCTTCTCAATAACCCTTTCCTTGGCGCTGACTTCGCTAACTTTGTCGCGCTTATTGAGCCGTGGCTGTTGGTTGAGCCTCGTGTTCGGGATTTCAGTGGCACCAACGCTGTCGTTTCAAAAGTGGCTGCAAAACAGCACGCGCAGATAGGGAGCCAAAGAAATGCTGGTATGATGAGAAACCACGCACAAAGCGAGCTCGTGGCGGCACCCTCTCAGCGTGGCGCTGGTGTCAGCTGCAGGTTTGCGAAGCGTTTTTAGCGATTTTAAGTTATAGTGTCTACTTCGAGGCTACTTTTGTTAATTAGATTATTTCTGCCTTCGTTTATTTAACTCGATTTTGAGCATTGCTAACCCAGTCTTAGGCATGTAATGAGCGGGATGCCGCCACGTGGGACTGTATAGGACCACAAGCTGGACCAGCAGAAATGCAACGCACATAAAATACCTAACTGAAGCTGCTACATTTCGGCCACTGAAGGGTCCATAGTCGGTACAAGTCCGTCTTTTGCTACAAGACACGCTCAACGGCACAAAGCAGAGGAACATAAAGCACCCAGTTACAAACTATGGAGCGTAATAAAATGAAATTTTGTTTTGAGATCTGAAAGGTTGCCTCTTCGTGGGCAACCCCTCCTAGGGAGAATAAGCCCTGTTTGTAAAATGAACCAATAAGTTGAAGTATTTTAACAGAAATGCACCTTGTTCATGGGATGTGCCAGATATATTTCTGTTAAAATACTTGAGCTTATAGGTTTATTTTACGGACAAGACCTATTTCCCTAGGAGCGGTTGCCCATGAAGAGGCAACCTTTCAAAGCACTGGACTTGGCTGATAGGTAGAACATGGGCGAGGCCTTTCCCTGCATTGGGTGTAGTCAGGCTGCTGCACATGATGATGGCCTGCACATGACGGCACTTTTCCAATAATAAGATCAAATTCTATCATCAGCGCTCAGCATAAGAGCAAGTCTTTATTTCCGCATGATGGATTACAAAAGGGACGATACGCAACATTACTTCGTTGAATTTTTTCAATGCCCATATACATCATGGTCAAGTCGGTGCACTCAGTGACTCTGCCTAAACGAGGTCCGCACATTGCTCTCACATCCATGGTCCACATTCTTTCACCGTCACCTCAACTCTGGTGTTGCAGTGTGACACTTGTCGTGGAACTGGCCGATGCAGGCTGCGTACGCTATCGCATGAGGGATATAAGTCTGGTCATGCACCCCGCTGAATAAGTGGGCCCAGGGCCCGATTGCGAACACAGCCACGTCCTCGCCGCCATGCGTCTCAAGCCGCTTCGGAAATGCCGCCTGCTGCGTGTAGTTCATTGACGCTGGGAGAAACAAAAACCATGGGGTGGTTACTGAAGCCTGATTTTTCACTGTTGGACAGTTATTAATCACGTTAACATTTTTGCTAGACACAAGCAAATGAATCGAGCAAACTATCAGGCCAAGAAAGGCAGTGAGGACAGCGATTGTAAAGTAATAACTGTGGCGTAGTGAAGAAACTCAATTCAAACTAGTTTGGACCTAAATGATGTATACTGCATTACAATTAGAACACGCTTATTTCTCCTGTGCTTTACTTCGTCTCTTGAATTTATTTGGCTGTGCCTAACAAACAAACAAAAAATATTTCTCACATCGCGTCCTTGCATTATTCATAACAAAATCGAAATGCCGCTATCACATTCTACTTCAATTGTTCAAAAACAATAAATGAAAGCGACCCAATTATATCATAAGCCCACAATGATTTGATTCAGAGGACGAAAGTATTGACGAAACAAAGCTATGACGTCACTGATATGGCACACCCTACAGGATTTGCGTACGTAACACATGCTGTGGGTGCCGAGAGCTTACCCTTATAGGTGTCCAAAGCTTCCTATATATATATATATATATATATATATATTGGAGGAGCGTTTGTCGCCGGATCCGGGAATAATAGGAGAATAAAAGGAGTTTGACTCACAAGTGAAAAGATTTTTTACTTGACGTTTCGACCGTGGGCCCGGCCTTCGTCAGAAACTCCTTTTATTCTCCTATATATATATATATATATATATATATATATATATATATATATATATATACATATAGATAGATAGATAGATAGATATATATATATAGTGGGAGTAATATTTCAATGGGCCAGGTAGTCTTTGTGAAGGTATGGGATATGGCACAACGGGAGCGTTGTCAACAATGATAAATATATTTATTTCCCAACAGTTTCGGGAGGGGTCCTCCCTTCATCAGGGGATGAGTTATACTCACATGAATTTTCAAACTTCGTTGCTGCCGCGTCCCTCTCGCCTTGAAACATGTTTGCGAGAGTGAGAGAAAACTAGAAAAAAAAGAAAAAAAGGGGGGGAAAAGGAAAAAAAAAGAAGAAGAACCATTGTCAACACTGAGAACGAAACCAACTGTCCGTGTACGTCCACATACGTTTCTTATCACGTGCTGTTCAGTTCTCGACGTGTGTCGGGCCTCCCAAGATTGTCGCCGCGGTGCCGGGGGGGTCCGTGACGGCGTGCGTAAAGAAAGGGTTTCCCCGTAATGGGTCGGTCGGCATGCGGCGTGCGTAAAGGAAGGCTCTCCCGTTAATGGGTCGGTCGGCTCTTTTTACCTTTAATCTTCGTCCATTTCCCTTCAATGGTCATCAAGTGGTAGACGAACAAAAACACTTTGTATGTTCATGTGGAAAAAGGAAGAAAAGAAAAATGAATGGAAAGTAACGAAAACAAGAATGGACAGTGTACACGTACGAGTCAGTCAGAAAAAAGCATGGTCTCCAGCTATCAATCTTTGTCACCAATTTCCTCCTGGCTTACTTCTCGGAGGCAGTTGAGTTTACCGGGGTCCTCGTTGATGCTGGCTACTAGTGTTCGAAATTTCAAAATAAAATACGCCTCACGCTGTTCGCACTCGCGTCTGTTTGAGAAACCGGACTGCAAAAGAGTTACGCTGGTATTTTCAAAACTGTGGTTTGGCAGGCGCAGATGTCTAGATAAAGGTAGCTTCGGCAGTGAAGTGGCGTGGTACCGGTGATTATTGAACCGCAGCCGAAATGGCGTGTCTGTTTGGCCGATATATTGCCATGTTCCCTTTCCCAATATTCTTGTCCGCAGGTGTTGCAATGTAGCATGTATAATACGTCACTGGAGTCACAATTAAGGCTTTCAGTTATGCAGAATTTGAAATCCGAGAAGTTCGCTAAGGATTCACGTGTTGTGACCATCTGTGGGCATACCTTGCGGAAAAGCTCGATGCAAGGTATGCCCACAGATGGTCACAACACGTGAATTCAAAGCGAACTTCTCGGATTTCAAAGTCTGCATAACCGAAAGCCTTAATTGTGACGACAGTAACGTAATATACATGCTACATTGCAACATCTGCGGACAAGAATATATCGGCCAAACAGACACGCCATTTCGGCTGCGGTTCAATAATCACCGGTACCGCGCCGCTTCACTGCCGAAGCTACCTTTATCTAGACATCTGCGCCTGCCAAACCACAGTTTTTAAAATATCAGCGTAACTCTTTTGCAGTCCGGTTTCTCAAACAGACACGAGCGCGAACAGCATGAGGCGTATTTTATTTTCAAATTTCGAACACTAGTTGCCGGCATCAACGAGGACCCCGGTAAACTCAACTGCTTCCGAGAAGTAAGCCAGGAGGAAATTGGTGACAAAGATTGATAGCTGGAGACCATGCTTTTTTCTGACTGACTCGTACGTGTACACTGTCCATTCTTGTTTTCGTTTTTTCTCCAATCATTTTTTCTTTCCTTCCTTTTTCCACATGAACATACAAAGTGTTTTTGTTCGTCTACTACTTGATGACCATTGAAGGGAAATGGACGAAGATTAAAGGTAAAAAGAGCCGACCGACCCATTAACGGGAGAGCCTTCCTTTACGCACGCCGCATGCCGACCGACCCATTACGGGGAAACCCTTTCTTTACGCACGCCGTCACGGAACCCCCCTGGCACCGCGGCGACCATCTTGGGTGGCCCGACACACGTCGAGAACTGAACAGCACGTTATAAGAAACGTATGTGGACGTACACGGACAGTTGGTTTCGTTCTCAGTGTTGACAGTGGTTCTTCTTCCCCCCCCCCTTTTTTATCTTTTTTTTTCTAGTTTTCTCTAACTCTCGCAAACATGTTTCAAGGCGAGAGGGACGCGGCAGCAACGAAGTTTGGAAATTCATGTCAGTATAACTCATCCCCTGATGAAGGGAGGACCCCACCCGAAACTGTTGGGAAATAAATATATTTATCCTTGTTGACAACGCTCCCGTTGTGCCATATCCCATACCTATATATATATATATATATATATATATATTTATATATATTATTACTGACATCTAACAGACAGTAATGCCAAGGAATGTACAGGGGAAGTTATTAGAACCAATGGAATGTATATAAGAAGAAAGAAAAGTGGATGAAAAAATAACCAGCCGTGAGCAGGAATCGAACCTACGACCTTCAAATAACGCGTTCAATGCTCTAACGACTGAGCTACCACAGTGGCCTTCCCTTCATCCACATTTTGGGTTTATATGTGAATTTAGAAGTAGGAGTGATAGTCAGCGCCATCTATAAGCCAAACTACGAGTGTGAAAACACTCTTATGCGCATGTTTGGCGTCACGTAGCCCGTTAACTTATTATGAGCGGGCAGCTGATTAATTGTCCGTCTTTATACAACCTAAACACACCAAGTCTGCCAGTACGAGATCCTCGTTCAATGAAATAAGGGAAAAAAAGTGTATACCTAAGGGCTCGTGTTTCCGTGTTTTAACGCAATATTATTGAGATATAACAGACAGTAATGCCAAGAAATGTACAGGGGAAGTTATTAGAACCAATGAAATGTAAATAAGAAGAAAGAAAAGTGGATGAAAAAAATAACAAGCCGTGAGCAGGAATCGAACCTACGACCTTCGAATAACGCGTTCGATGCTCTAACCACTGAGCTACCACAGCGGCCTTCTCTTCATCCACATTTTGGGTTTATATGTGAATTTAGAAGTAGGAGTGATAGTCAGCGCCATCTATAAGCCAAACTACGAGTGTGAAAACACTCTTATGCGCATGTTTGGCGTCACGTAGCATGTTAACTTATTATGAGCGGGTAGCTGATTAATTGTCCCTCTTATACAACCTAAACACACCAAGTCTGCCATTACGAGACCCTCGTTCAATGAAATAAGGGAAAGAAGTGTATACCTAAGGGCTCGTTTTTCCATGTTTTAACACAATATTAATGAGATCTAACAGACAGTAATGCCAATGAATGTACAGGGGAAGGCATTAGAACCAATGGAATGTAAATAAGAAGAAAGAAAATTGGAGGAAAAAATAACCAGCCGTGAGCAGGAATCGAACCTACGACCTTCGAATAACGCGTTCGATGCTCTAACCACTGAGCTACCACAGTGGCCTTCCCTTCATCCACCTTTTTGGGGGTTTATATGTGAATTTAGAAGTAGGAGTGACAGTCAGCGCCATCTATAAGCCAAACGACGAGTGTGAAAACACTCTTATGCGCATGTTTGGCGTCACGTAGCACGTGAACTTATTATGAGCGGGCGGCTGATTAATTGTCCCTCTTATACAACCTAAACACACCAAGTCTGCCATTTCGAGACCCTCGTTCAATGAAATAAGGGAAAGAAGTGTAGTGAGGCTTTATGCTGATGATTCTGTTTTGTATTGCCCAGTCAAGTGTTTTGATGACACCACAGTACTTCAGTCTGACCTCGATAAGATTGTTTCTTGGTGTGCTCAGTGGCAAATGAGTTTGAACCTAACTAAATGTTTCATGTGCAATTTATTAACAAAAAAAGGTTGTATCCAGGTCTTATTACTTAAATTCCTGCGCAGTACAAAAGGTAGATCAAGTTAAGTATCTCGGCGTAACATTCACGGCAACACTAGATTGGACCAGTCACGTAGATCTAATCACAGCCAAGGCTTCGCGCTTAATTCATTTTTTTCAAAGAAATTTCAGCGACGCGCCGCAAACACTCAAGCAAACCCTGTATATTACAAATGTGCGCCCAATTTTAGAGTATGCTTGTGTTTCGTGGGACCCTGTCACGAATGTACTAAAAGAAAAGTTGGAGAGGGTGCAAAAAAGGGCTGCTAGGTTTGTTACAGGAAACTACGATTTTAGAATAAGGTCTTCTGGAATTCTTCAGGCCTTGGAATGGGAACCCCTTTGTGGACGACGGAAAGTTAAAAGCTTTAATTTTCTCTATAATATATATCACGGTAAGACTGGGCTAAATAAAGAGCGGTATTTAAAGACGCCTAGTTATATGTCCGAACGGAAAGATCACTTATATAAAATTAGAGAATACACCTGTCGATTGAATGTCCTTAAATACTCTTTCTTTCCAAATTCTATTAGTGACTGGAATGCGCTAAAATTACCAATATTCTCTGATTCTAATTTCCTAACAGCCATTGAAACAGCATTTCGAGCTGCTGAAATAACCCATATATTTAACGTTGGCTTTGTACTTCTCTTGGTTGTTGATTTTTTATAAGTTTAATTACTGCTTTCGTTGTATAATCCTGTGTTTTGTACTTTTGTTCTAATGCTGTACTACAAGTGTTGATTTCTTCTGTATACTGTAAGGCACGAGTTATTTGCCTTTAATTTTGCTGTTTTGTATTCTATTTTCCACCGTAACCCCCCTACAACAATTCCTAATGGGCGATGTAGGTACTTGTAATAAATAAATAAATAAATGTAATAAATACCTAAGGGCTCGGTTTTCCGTGTTTTAACACAATATAAATGAGATCTAACCGACAGTAATGCCAAAGAATGTACAGAGGAAGTTATTAGAACCAATAGAATGTAAATAAGAAGAAAGAAAAGTGGATGAAAAAATAACCAGCCGTGAGCAGGAATCGAACCTATGACCTTCGAATAACGCGTTCGATGTTCTAACCACTGAGCTACCACAGCGGCCTTCCCTCCATCCACATTTTTGGGTTTATATGTGAATTTAGAAGTAGGAGTGACAGTCAGCGCCATCTATAAGCCAAACGACAAGTGTGAAAACACTCTTATGCGCATGTTTGGCGTCACGTAGCACGTGAACTTATTATGAGCGGGCAGCTGATTAATTGTTCCTTTTATACAACTTAAACACACCAAGTCTGCCATTACGAGACCCTCGTTCAATGAAATAAGGGAAATAAGTGTATACCTAAGGGCTCGTTTTTCCGTGTTTTAACACAATATTAATGAGCACTTACAATTCAGAAGTCGGACGTTCGACTCCCGATGCCAGAGTCCTTTTTATGGGTAACTTTTTTCTTGCGTTTTCATATAAACAAGTACGTATACATATACGATGACTTACGGCAACGTTGACGTTGGCGGCAAAATGTCGCCGAGAGTGTTCATATAATTGCTATCGCAATGAAACGGTAAATGCAAGACATTGCTTTGAAAAACGTGTGAGTCGATGTGAGTATAAAATATAACTCTAACTGAGGCTGATAGTGACGCTGAATATGAGTAGATTTCACTATATGTCAGCGGAAAAAATTGCAAGTCACTAAGACTCACTCAAGAAATATATCTTGCTTCAGACGCACCAAAATTTTACTGAGCCAAACTTACTCAATCTTACAAGGACAAAAACTTTCATGAACTGGACTTTGTTGCTACTTTCCAACCGGACTTCTAACCGGTTGAGAACTAAACTAACTCTCAGTCAGACTCCCTCAGACTTGCGTGATGATCTGAGTCTTAGTAATCCGAATGAGTCGACTCATGAGTGAATCCACAGACCTATGCATTGGCCAAAATAATAATGAGAACTAACAAAGAATGATGCGAGGAGAAGTATAGGGGTAGTTATTAGAAGTAATGGTAATGGAAATATCAGGGAAGAAATGTATACGAAAACGTGCTACTGGCAAGAGTGGAACCTGCATCTTTCGCATAACGTGTCCGATGCTCTGTTAGTGAGCTACAGTTGTGGTCATCCATATGTCCACTAAATAAAGTGTATATATGGGCATGTGAATGTAGGCGAATTATACTGGGCCGCCTGTTGCCATTGAGGCGAATGTGGAACACTCTTTTGCCTATTGGTGTCTCGTAGTTTTTGATCTAATTACGCGGTGACAGCTGGCAAATTATTCCTTTAGCATAGAAGGAGTTAATTAAGAAATATAGAAGCTCATACGAGGCAGCAAATTATTCATTATCTTTATCAGAATGGAATATTGATTGCATTGGAATCGTAGATCATAGTAGGTGAATTTGACACTTTAGTAGACAGTGCATCATAATTTTCACCTGAAGGGCATAGTGATTGGAATGAACTTTCAAAAGAGGAGCTACGCTAAAGGGAAACAAAGTGAGGCCAACGAGGCACGTTCCTTGTGAAAAAAAGACTTACAGGTTTCCCGTTCAGTCAAATTGCTCCGGTCCATCGCAACGCTAGGGCCGTTACCGTAAGCGATCATGGTGAGCGGTTGTTGGTCAATGTCCGATAATCCAGCAACGCCTGCACAAAATTCACAGAAAGTTTTACAATAGCAGCGAGTATGGGCGCGTGTCTTTGTAAAAAATTACCAATTTTTACAAACACTCAGGCACAAACACTTCCCAATGTGCGTGTGAATGTATAATAAGATATATTTAGACATGTGCGCCTGAAACTTTGTACCCGTGCAGAGCTGAATAGGAAAATATTGGTTGCTTTTATGTAATAAAAATATTTCTTTCTTTGTGGACCAAAGAAAGTTTCATTTACTCTCTGCCACAGAAACCGATTGGTGTTGAGGTGTAGGGTATCAAATGAGAACGGAATAACTAAGTTTTTCAACAGTATTACTCTATAAAATAACTGGTTAATTTAGAATACTGCCCAGAATTATCAAAACCAAAAAAATCATAACAAAAAAACTGCAATGATAAACACACTAGACTGATGGATGCTTCCCCCCCCCCCTCATCATCATGAACTCCGTGAGTATGTTGTGAATCTTCCTTTTCCTTTTTGGTGCTCAATTTTCTTTTCTTCAAAGCACAGTTTTCAGTCATGACATTTTTTGGTTTTTCGTGGTTGATGCCGGGCACCTTAAGGTGCCTTTCCGGGTATACGCTAACATAAAGCGCACCCAGTTTCCAGATATCATCATCATCATCATCATCATCATCAGCCTGACTACGTCCACTACAGAACAAAGGCCTCTCTCCATGTTCCGCCAGTTAACCCGGTCCTGTGCTTGCTGCTGCCAATTTATACCCGCAAACTTCTTAATCTCATCTGCCTACCTAACCTTCTTTCTCCCCCTAACCCACTTTCTTCTCTGGGAATCCAGTTAGTAACCCTTAACGACCAGTGGTTATCCTGTCTACGCGCTACATGCCCCGCCATATATGCTACGCCCATATTATGTGTCCGCGTTTCACCATTTCATTCCTCAGGCACTGCCAAATTTACGACTGTCATTTAGAGTTCACCGCTGTCTCGTTCACAGAATAGTTCCAAAACGAAAAAAAAAAAGTAAAGCGCGGAATTGAATCAGTCGTGTTGCAGTAGAAAAGACATGCTGTGAAACTTCCCGTGGGAAGTGATGGTCATCTTCTTTGCATTAGAGAATCAATAAGGCAAACATCGCCGTGAACGTTTCTCATGGCATCACTGATGGTGGAAAAAGGCCGGTAAGTATGTGTCGTCAACTCCAATAGCGACGCAGGCGTGAAGCTTGGATGATTTTCGCGTGCTCCAGAAGTCTTACAAACACGTGCATGTCACGGTAACCTCCTTTCATGGTCTGTTCCTCTAAATGTGTTTCCTTCTCGAGTATATGCATTTACACATATTTAATTGCGCCGTTGTATATTTGCCCCGCCGTGGTGGTCTAGTGGCTAAGGTACTCGGCTGCTGACCTGCAGGTCGCGGGATCGAATCCCGGCTGCGGCGGCTGCATTTCCCATGGAGGTGGAAATGTCGTAGGCCCGTGTGCTCAGATTTGTGTGCACGTTAAAGAACTTCAGGTGGTCGAACTTTCTGGAGCCCTTCACTACGGCGTCTCTCGTAATCATATGGTGGTTTTGGGACGTTAAACCCCACAAATCAATTAAGTCAATATTGGTTGCAGTGCGGCCAATATAATTTTATAAACATATGCAGGCTACTTCAATAAACACGGCGTCACGTAGGGTTAGAGTCAATTTTGTTAAGCGCCCTCCACTGAGTTTGGGCGACAGTGCAACATGCAGACCTACCATCTTGACAAGCACAAGCGCTACTATTCAGCTTATTACTTCTTCTGTTGGTAATGGCCGTGTTGCTCTTCCCACCAATACGGAATTGTAAATAACTGTTTATATAAAACATATGCGACTGCTCGACGTAGATATCTGTGCGCATAACATTCTTACATATGTTTAGCGCCCTTTCGTACCGTTTAGCTAGACAAAAAATTACTCCACAGTTGTATTCCCTTCGCGTTCTTCGCGTTCTTCGCATGACGTCGATTCGCGTGGCACACGGAATCCAGTGAATTTTTATTTGCATGTTCTTGTTTTTCCTGCCACAGATTGACGCATGCGCTCAAGTACTCGTTGTAGTTTATCTATTTTTTTTGTTTTTCAGCTGTGAAATCAGCTCGCCACAGCACGGCCGGACGCGACTATCTTTTCCGCTCCGCCCTTACGGCCTCCGCAATGATGGCTGTTGGCGCCTGTCGTAGTTGCTCTGTCGTGGCGTTAGCTCACCGTTTCGCTTCCGCAAAAACCGTTGAAGGATGCTCTCCGGCCGGCTGCATATGCTTCCAATATCTCTGGAAACTTAGCTGCCGGGCACAATTTATCTATAAATGTAAGCATGCTGTTAATTTTGTGCGCCAGTAGTCAACATGGTGGTGTGATATGAGACGGAATAAACAGCTTCGAGCGTCTCCTAGAAAACGTAACCTAGCAGTAGACGACGCTAAAAAAGTATAGGGGAAGGTAAACCCAATGCTCACAATTATTGGGCCTATGTCGTTACTTATGCCATATGGTTATTCAAGCACGCGCACGTGAAGTAATGATGTAAGAATTCTGTGAGGCTACAAAAAACTTAGGTATTCAGAGATACAAACTTTATTTTTAATCAATACAAATCACTCTTGCACATTTCCGTGCCGACAACCTTCATACCGTCTGAATTAAAGCCTAAAATGCTTTCTAGATGGCTTATGCACGTAAGCAGCTGTTTTTTTTTCGTTTTTTACTGTTACCATATTGGCGTCATTGACTAGAGGCAGCCCGAGAAACCTGTCAGCAATCACACTGGCTGTGCGGCTTTTGTTACCATTGCCGACATCCTCTGGGCAGTTCGATGGGCAATTATTCGAGGTAAAGTGTGACAAGGATTTGCAGCACTTCGTGCACTTTTGTCAGTGGTATGTGCTTCGCAGCCATTTCAAAGAAAATCACAATGTTGTCCAAAAGTTCCAAGAACACACAAGTCGAATGGTGCGGTCTACTTTTGTCGTGTTCGAGCATTGAAGTGTACAGAGGGTCCTGTTTGTTAGTCGTTGTCACCATCATTAAGCATGCATCACACCTTAAATAACTGATGAGTTTCACCAGGTAGCCCACAACATACACCATACCGGAGTACGTCACTGAATGGAATGGATCTAAAAAGTCTCCTTTCAGGTCTTCCAGCTGTTCAGTCAATTCCTGTGGTACGGATGTAGCGAGCTCTTCAGCTTCAGCCTCTGACATCTGCCGGACATGCCTTGGGTGGATACCCTTTCATTTGAATATTTCATCAAAGGCAATTGTGACAGCCCTTGCATCAAGTACATCCTTACCGCCACACATGGACCTGAGCCGTCTGAAGAGAACTTCAACTAGGTCGCTGTTGAAGTTCCTCGTCAGAACGTACTTGATAGCTTGCTCCAAGAAAAACTTTGTTGTCTCCATTGTTGCCTTCGTGGTGAAGAGCAGGGCGTGGTACATTTCATTTGTCAATTCACCTTTTCCTGGTGCGATTGACGCCTCCTTAATTTTCTTTATGTAGCAGGTGAAATCCTTCTCCAGCCATACCATTCTGGGTTCATTTTCCTCATAGATTGGCCTCTTGTTCTCACTCCCACTGTACACTGTGTCATACACGTCAAACCATTGCTTGACCATCTTCATGAGCAGAACTGCTGAGGTGACTTCTGCTGAGGTGAAACTGCTGAGGTGAAACTGTAAAGGGCTGGGTCGCCGCGGTGATTCTCTTGAAGAGAGGTGAGACAACGCTGCTGTCACTTGCAGAGAGAATGTTTGATCAGCGCGAAGCGCATTCATGTTTTCCAGTTGGGGGGGGGGGGGGGTAAACATGTTTCCAAGTTAGGTTTCTAGACAACTTCATGATTTTCTCCTTCTCAAAATCAAAGTTTCTCGACAAACCTCCCTTTAATGGCTCCTGCGCCGTCAACAGACCGGAGTACGTTCACGTTCCAGGAACTCGCTGCGTACATTTTTGAGGATATGACAAAAGTCTAAATTCAGGAAAATCACTCTATCTGTAATCATGAGGATGGGGTACTACTGTAGACAAACATCCACTTCCCGTGTGTTTACAAATTGTGACACTTGCTGAGTAGTTATCTCTAACGACTCTGACAATGACAAAGTCATACGACTGCACAGCACACATTACCTCGTTGGTTCAGGCAAACAAGTCTTTTCAACTCAGCTGTTTAGTGAAGTAGCAGGCACTTCGTATTCTGTACGAATTCGCCTCACCTTGCAGAACAAAACACAGTACTGTATTTGCAAGCGCGCCTGTAGAGCTGCATTCTTCACTGTTCTCGGGCTTGTCTTTGAGTCCAAAAAAATGTGTCGGCCTTTCTGTCGTAGACACATTTTGGCTTAATGGCAGCTTCATCTCTGATGAGTGATGCCATGTGCAGCAAAACGAAGTGCCGAGCGAGTTGGTGCTGATTTGTCATCATCATCATCATCAGCCTCACTACGTCCACTGCAGGACAAAGGCCTCCCCCATGTTCCGTCAGTAAACCCGGTCCTGTGCTTCCTGCTGCCAATTTATGCCCGCAAACGTCTTAATCTCATTTGCCCACCTAACCTTCTGTCTCCCCCTAACCCACTTGCCTTCTCTGGGAATAGTTACCCTAAATGGCCAGCTAGCGGTTATCCTGTCTACGCGCTACATGCCCGGCCCATGTCCATTTCCTCTTCTTGATTTCAACTATGACATCCTGAACTCCCGTTTGTTCCCTAATCCACTCTGCTCTCTCCTTGTCTCTTAAGGTTACACCTACCAATTTTCTTTCCGTTGCTCGCTGCGTCGTCCTCAGTTTAAGCTGAACCCTCTATGTAAGTGTTGATTCATAACACCGTAAATATAGCGCGAAAAAACACGGACAAGAAAGAGTACACCACAAGCGCTTAATCACAACTGAAACCTTTAATGCTTGAACCACTACATGTATGGTGTTATGGATGTCATGTACTATTTTCTGCTGAGCACCGATGCCTCAAATATCAGCC